TGTTTGTAGATGACCAAATACTTATTTTCCACCATAATTTGCAAATAAATTCATTAAAAATCCTACAATGTGATTTTCTGGATTTTTTTTCTCTCAATTTGTCTGTCATAGTTGACGTGTACCTATGATGAAAATTACAGGCGCCTCTCATCTTTTTAAGTGGGAGAACTTGCACAATTGGTGGCTGACTAAATACTTTTTTCCCCCACTGTATACATTTTTTTAAATAACATGCTTGGTATTTCCTCATAGAAAATGATGCCATCTCCCTGAGGAGGATGAGCTGGCCAATCAGCGGTCTAGAGGAGGATGAGCTGGCCAATCAGTGGTCTACTTGCATTAATATCTTTAATGACCGGTAAACGCCCACACCATTTTGTTGTTGGGGTACGCCCACACCATTCCAACACAAAAAAGCTGCTTTTTAACATACTTAACATTTCTTGGAAGGAAAACTATTTCACTCATATTGTAAGTAATTATAGGTCATATTTCATTTAAACACTGGGCAGTTACTTTAATGTTATGCATCTGATATGCTGTACACCTGAAGGTATACTCTACTGTGTTGGCAGAGGATATACATCTTTTAACCTCCTGTTAGACTTCCCAGTGGGCGTCTGCTTAGGTAAATAAGGGTAGATGAACTAGCTGACCTGAAAGTGAATGGCTTCATGTCTGTCTGAGCAGACAGTCTCTGTGCTATTAATGGAGAAGTCTGTAGACACAACAGACTCTGCAGGTCTCTGTGAGTCTGTCTGCATTTTCCTCTCACTCCCCTCTGGGGCCCTTGTGCCTGAAGTCCTCAGGCAGCCCCAGCCTGGCCACACAGCTACAAATAAACCCAGTCCACTTTGATATAGCTCCAGTGTGGGACCACCAGGGATATGGCCAGACATCAGAGAGATAGAGACGCAGAGGAGGGAGGGGAGACAGAAAGCGAGAAGGGACGAAAGGGAAGATACAGTAGAGGTCATAAAAAGGAAAAGGAATGCATCTGTACAAGGGCACAATAGAACCATGCCCCCCTCCCCCCTCTGCCTTCTGGCCATTAAAAAAATAGTCAAGCCACACAAAGGTTTTCTCCATATTGCGAAACACTTACAGTAGATACCCATGTCACAGTGAATGGCCTCTCAGGCCTTCGGCTCCAAATTAGTAGGGACGTCACTGTTGGTTTTAGCCCAGTATGCGGTGGTGTCGGTGTGCTGCCTGCCTGCTTGAGTAGCAGACAGGGGAGAATGTTTGTACTCATAAATCGCCCGCAGCCTTCCTGTCAGCCCTCACCCACGTGACAGACAGCCTGTCAGCAGCTTGCTATGGTGCCGTGTCTGGGAAAGCCATTCTTCCTGCCCGTTCCTCAGCTCTACCACACAGACAGACAAACTAGGCTCCCGCTCTGAGCTGTATATCGTCGCGCTGGAAGGCTACACTTGGCCTCGGAGACTGCTGTCTTTTCCCCCCCATACGGGGACCCATTGGACTCCTAGAGGTCCACCAGGGGGCTCAATAGAAGACCCTCTTTTCCCTTGCAGACTCGCTCTCTCCATACCCCCCTCCCCATCCCTCCAGTCTAGCCCCCCTGTGTCCCCGTGTGTTCCCTGCTGAATGATGTCTGTGTTCTCTCTAAGGCGCCCATCCAGCTTCTCTCTCCATATGCTCCACAGAGCTGGGGATGTCTGCAGAGTAGGGATGGAGGGAGGGCTGCTGGGGGTTTGAAGGCGGACATGTTTCATCATTGCTGAGGCCAGGGACTCTGTGCTCCGAGCCGTGTCAGAGTGGTTAAGGCTTGTGTTGAACAGGGGGCAGGGGAAGACCCCTCTACAGATCCCTCTATAGATCTCCATGTGCTGGGGAATGTGATGTGTTTCCAAGGCCTCTCCTGTCCGTACATCTCCATACCCCCTGTCAGTGGTGATACCCAGGCCTTCACTGAATGAAAGTGCTTGTGGTAGTAGCATAAGCACCCAGAAACCCCAGAACGTAAAGAGCTACAAACTACTGGAAGGTAATGGCCGAATGATGCTCAGCCCCCAGAGAGAAGCCAGAACGTTTTTGGGTCACGGTGAAACGAGGTGATGGATTGAAACCGCCATAATACGGCGAATGCCAGAGCCAGAGTGCAGAGAGACTGGCAAAATATACTTTCTAAACTCTTTTAAATACTATGTCTATTATGTACAGTTGAAGTCGGAAGTTTACATACACCTTAGCCAAATACATTCAAACTCAGTTTTTCACAATTCCTGACATTTAATCCTAGTATAAGTTCCCTGTCTTAGGTCAGTTAGGATCACCACTTTATTTTAAGAATGTGAAATGTCCGAATAATAATAGAGAGAATTATTTATTTTAGCTTTTATTTCTTTCATCACATTCGCGGTGGGTCAGAAGTTAACATACACTCAATTAGTATTTGGTAGCATTGCCTTTAAATAGTTTAACTTGGGTCAAATGTTTCGGGTAGCCTTCCACAAGCTTCCCACAATAAGTTGGGTGAATTTTTGGCCCATTCCTCCTGACAGAGCTGGTGTAACTGACTCAGGTTTGTAGGCCTCCTTGCTCGCACACCCTTTTTCAGTTCTGCCCACAAATTTCTATAGGATTGAGGTCAGGGCTTTGTGATGGCCACTCCAATACCTTAACTTTGTTGTCCTTAAGTCATTTTGCCACAACTTTGGAAGTATGCTTGGGGTCATTGTCCATTTGGAAGACCCATTTGCGACCAAGATTTAACTTCCTGACTGATGTCTTGAGATGTTGCTTCAATATATCCACATCATTTTCCTTCCTCATGATCCCATCTATTTTGTGAAGTGCACCAGTCCCTCCTGCAGCAAAGCACCCCCACAGCATGATGCTGCCACCCCCGTGCTTCACGGCTGGGATGGTGTTCTTCGCTTGCAAGTAACCCCCTTTTTCCTCCAAACATAACGATGGTCATTATGGCCAAACAGTTCTATTTTTGTTTCTTCAGACCAGAGGACATTTCTCCAAAAAGTACGATCTTTGTCCCCATGTGCAGTTGCAAACCGTAGTCTGGCTTTTTTATGGCGGTTTTGGAGCAGTGGCTTCTTCCTTGCTGAGCGGCCTTTCAGGTTATGTCGATATAGGACTCGTTTTACTGTGGATATAGATACTTTTGTACCTGTTTCCTCCAGCATCTTCACAAGGTCCTTTGCTGTTGTTCTGGGATTGATTTGCACTTTTCGCACCAAGGTACGTTCATCTTTAGGAGTGGGAACGCGTCTCCTTCCTGAGCGGTATGACGGCTGTGTGGTCCCATGGTGTTTATACTTGCGTACTATTGTTTGTACAGATGAACGTGGTACCTTCGGGCGTTTGGAAATTGCTCCCAAGGATGAACCAGACTTGTGGAGGTCTGCAATTTGTTTTCTGATGTCTTGGCTGATTTCTTTTGATTTTTCCATGATGTCAAGCAAAGAGGCACTGAGTTTGAAGGTAGGCCTTGAAATACATCCACAGGTACACCTCCAATTGACTCAAATGCCATGACATCATTTTCTGGAATTTTCCAAGCTGTTTAAAGGCACAGTCAACTTAGTGTATGTAAACTTCTGACCCACTGGAATTGTGATACAGTGAATTATAAGTGAAGTAACCTGTCTGAACAATTGTTGGAAAAAATACTTGTGTCATGCACAAAGTAGATGTCCTAACCGACTTGCCAAAACTATAGTTTGTTAACAAGACATTTGTGGAGTGGTTGAAAAACAAGTTTTAATGACTCCAACCTAAGTGTATGTAAACTTCTGACTTCAACTGTATATGATACAGTTGGCTCACGTTTAAAACCAGCTGTCTATTAGTCTTTGGTTTTTGACTACATCATATTAGTTCCCCTTTATATCTACATATTTTTTTTCACCTTATAGCAATTATTAAGACAGCCCAAAGCCTCTAATTCAGTGGTTTAGCCTGCTCTCTGGTTTAGAGAAAAAGCCCTCTCTCCCCTTGGCAATGCTCGCTGCATCTCTGCTCTGTCTGGTGTGAACAGCTGACAGCCGCAGACGAAACGTTGAGCTCAGGAGTCTGGGGTTTGGGGGAAGTTTGGACCGGTGGGGGGGGCTGCCAAAAAATAAAGAGAAGACGTAGAGAGAGACGTTGGTGCAGGGAAAAGGAAGAAGTGAATGGAAGAAAACAGGAAGGGGAGCTGAGGTACTTTCTATAGAGACTTGTGTCACTGGTTACAGAAAAGGTAAAAGGGTAAAGTTGGAGGAGGATAGACTGGGAAGGGATGTGGTAGACCCAGGACAGATGTTTGTGGTCAATGCTCTTCTCTCTGTCTTGCTAGTCTCTCTCTCTTTCTCTTTCTCTGTCTGTATCTGTATCTGTGCCTGTCTGTCTGTTTCATATGAGGGCTGGGTTTGGTGTTGAGGGAGAGGAATGGGCGGGCGGACAGGCGGGTAGACTCTTTTTTTTCTTCTCAGTAATGTGGGCAGGCGTGACTTCATCCTAAAGTGAAGAGAGAGAAAGCGAGAGAGAGGAGGTGATCTCAGGAGGACACACAGCAAAGCATTTTGGGAGGGCTTTCTTTCAAACAGAGGTGCCAAAGTCCTTGAAAATGTGCTAGATGGGAGATAGAAGAGAAAGGGGGATGAGCAGAGAAGCCTGGGCCGACTAGGCTGCCATGCCCACTCTTTGTCCGTCTTGGAATAAAACATTGCATTGTGATCTGCCAATACCCACCTCTCAGGGAACTTGACTTTTGATGAAGAATTGGAGTGCATCCCAGAGTTTTGTTTGCTGAGCTTTCTCCCTCTGTTTTTTCTCTTTCCCTCCTCATGTTTCAGAGTCGCCACCGGATTTAGGAGCAGTTGGAGAGAGAGGGGGAATTAAAGAGAAAGATAGAGGGAAAAGAGAGACACAACAGGAGTATATGTGAATAGAGGACAACAGTCGTTTCAGTTATTGTTTTGACTGAAACTCTTTGTTCGTGATCGTTCGTGACAGGTACACAGGGTGATACTAACTAACCAATGGATACGAGACTGACGAGACTCTCCCTTCTCTCCCTCTCCTTTCTGCTGCTGTGCTGTGCTTCCCGGCTGGCAGTGGGGAACCACACGGGCCGGATCAAGGTGGTCTTCACACCCACCATCTGCAAGGTGACCTGCACGGGGGGCCAGTGCCAGAACAACTGTGAGCTGGGCAACACCACCACCATTATCAGTGAGAATGGCCGTGCCGCAGACACCCTCACCGCCCCCAACTTCAGAGTAGGTGAGTGATCTCCGGTTCACCTTATCATCACCCCTCCCCATCTGTTTCCGTCTTGTGCTCATCCGATGTGGTTGCTGCCTTGTGCCTGGTGCATGATGGGATATAAGGCATCTGAATTTAGGGTGGTTATTGTGCTGTGTGTGTGTGTGTGTGTGTGTGTGTGTGTGTGTGTGTGTGTGCACGCGTTTAGGGCAATACAATGAGATCTGTCATGTACGTTCTATGTCTCACACTCTCTGCATTCTGGATGAGGTGTTAAACTATTTTGATGATTAATGTTTACATTACTGCATTTTCCTGCATAACAGTATAGTATCTGACACACATAGTATATAAAATATAAAAATGACTGTTCAATACAGGAGCACAATAGGTGGGTGTTGCACAGACCCTGGAAAAGTCTGCCTCAGTCCTTATAAGGAGCTCACCACTGTCTGCTGTATCCTGTTCTTGACACAGACATCTGGGAAGACCCAAAGAAGATGAATTCCTGTCTGACTCAGCAGCAGACACAGATATGAGAGCTCTGACTCTGGTTCTGTGACTCACGGTCAATGTGGCTATCCCTATAGAGTCAGCATTCATGATGCATATTGTACAGTTTGACGTTATTGATTGGGCCATAGTAAAAACCTAATTATAACTCTTCACTATGTATTGTGTTACTAATTTTATGGTTGAAGATACTTATTTGAATCATCACTAAATACCTATATATTGGAATGCCAAATGTGCAGTATAGCGTAGCAAATGTAGCAGTCTTTTCCTGCTCTTTTGTGCAGATCTGCAGCCTAGGGTGCTGCTCTGTCTGTGTGACTGTCTCTTTAAATGAGAGCACCTGGTGTAGTGTCAGCCTAATGTACCTGTCGAGACACGCAATCTGTTCCAGGCCTGCTCTTCCCTCCCTGCTGAGAGCCAAGAGAGCTATGAAGTAGCACAAGTCCTGAGCCTAGAAAGTGGAGAGCTGAGTTTTATTTACAGTGTGCAGGCCATCTCGTGTAGTCCCGTGTAGCTCAGTTGGTAGAGCATGGCGTTTGCAACGCCAGGGTTGTGGGTTCGTTTCCCACGGGGGACCAGTATAAAACATTTTTTACAAAAATGTATGCACTCACTAACTGTAAGTCGCTCTGGATAAGAGCGTCTGCTAAATGTAAATGTAAATCTCCAGCAGCAGAAATGGAATAAATCCCATGTTTGTTTATCATACCTGAGTGATGAAGGGAGAGTGTTGCTTCATTATAAGAAAAGGGGGGATGTGTCCCTGCTTGCAACATGGTGTTGGCCAAATAACACGCTTACCAAGCCCATAACAAGCTTTAGTTGATTTGTGACTCATTTATCCAGGGCGAGGTGTAACTGTACTTTTTACCCACTTAACACTGTACTAAATGCCACTCTGCTGTTGAAGGCTCTGCAAAGGAACATTTTACTTTACAGTCCTGTGGAAAGAGGTTTATTAATCGTGGTGGATTGTGCTGCACTGTTATTACCACATTTTGTGCAATTAAAACACAATACATCCATTGAGAATATGAATGTGAACATTTCTTCTGGGCTTCTGTCCTGCCTAGTCAGCGCTTAGGGCATGAGGCCTGGTGGTTTTGGGCTGCCACATTACCCTCCGTTGCCGATGGAGACAGCCCCTCTCCTCTCCTGCAGTCCAACTCCGCTAGACATGCATCTGGAAAGAGAGAAGGACACAGCTGCACAGTTTACTACTGTACAGTCTACTGGCTGGCAGATTATATAACGGTCTCATTTGGTTTCCATATCAGCTCCATACTGATAAGGGAATAAAGTTTATCCCTCCCTTTTTCTCGCTCTCTCTCTCTCTCTCTCTCTCTCTCTCTCTCTCTCTCTCTCTCTCTCTCTCTCTCTCTCTCTCTCTCTCTCTCTCTCTCTCTCTCTCTCTCTCTCTCTCCCACTCTTTTCGATCCCTCTTCTCTGTCTCTCTACTGTCACAGTATTCTATGGGGGACAAGGAACCCTTTTAGAGTGTTGTTTTTCCATACCTCAGTGGTCTGTGTCAGGCCCAGACTTTTGGGCGTATTGGGTCCTAGGTGTGTGCAGTGCCTGTCTAAGTATTGTGAGCCTCCTGGATCAGCCCAGGCTTCCTTATTAAAGATGGCCATGGCTGTCAGTTCATTTTGTGTGTCAGCTGCGCTGTAGACAATATCACCACATTTAGGGTCAGATTAAACTAAATAGATTTTTGGGGAAGTCAAGATGGAGGGAAGTATATTCAACATTATTCTACCCGTTCTCTTCATATAGCACCTATACAAATATGTCCCATTTTGGGAGAGAGGTAAAGAAAGAAGCTGACCGATTTTCTTGGCTCTCGGGCCAATTCCATTAATTTTCTAATTCCTCGGGTAACCTGTTCAGTTTTTACAGAGGTGATGAGGGCTGTTGACTTTGGGTGGAGGTAGTTGTCTGGAGGCCTATGTGTCTGGAGTCCTGTATGAGACTTGATTAATGAGCATTACACACTAATAGTTCATTTAGGCTTTCACTGGGCCAAAGGAGTGTAATCAGGTGTTTGGTCAGTGCCTAATTGGAAGCATGTGGCTCCCGAGGAGGAAAAAAGTCTGCAGCCGTCTCTCTCTCTCTGTCTGCCCTGTAAAGGAGAGTGCCAGGTATTTCACCGAAACACTTTCACTGATTTTATAGGCTCCCTTCACTCCCACGTACGCAAGTTGTGGCTGGGGGATCATCTGGTGGAGAATAAAACCTGTAGCTATAGAGGAAAGGGAGAGTCCAGAGGTTGCCAGTGAGGGACCATGCTGGGGAGTTTATGAGCTGTGCAGCGCCAGCCTTAGATGGAGTTGGAGATGGCTGGAGTCGACTAATCCTCTTGTAGCTGTCATTTCCTCCTTGTCAGATTTCATTAGCTTATATTTTCATTAGCTGCACTGTCATTTTTTCCTCCCTACATGTTTTTTTCTTCTTCGTAGATTTCTTTTTTTGTCATCCCTACCTGGCAGTCAGGAAAGCGTGGCACTGTATTTACAGTCTCAGTAGACGGGCTGCCTGTGGTGGAGGGGGGAAGCGATGGGGGCTTCTCCTGCTGCCAGAGCCTGTGCCCTCAGTAAACACCAGGCGCTAGCCTCTACCGTGAGTCTAGGGTTGCCTTGTCTGGGTCAACCTGCCTTTCTGCTCTAACAACTACATTTTACATTTACATTTTAGTCATTTAGCAGACGCTCTTATCCAGAGCGACTTACAGGAGCAATTAGGGTTAAGTGCCTTGCTCAAGGGCACATTAACGTCATTTAGCAGACTAAGTGGGATTTTTCTGTGAAGTGCCAGACGCCGCGTCTTAAAATCTCATTAGACACCCAGGGGCCATGCACTGTGCTGCTGCTGACCCAGCCTCCTCTAATCACATTGCCTAGGCCCGTGGAGGGAGCATGGCAGCCTGCCTTAATGAACAACATCCAGGGCTTCGGTCCTCACTCTCTTTCACTCTCTCACGCTCCACTCCTCAGTGGATGAGGAGGAAATGAGTCAGTGTGGTTGTGTATGTGCTTGTTTCTGTTTGTGCATGGGTGTTCACTGTATCTGTGTGTGTGTGTGTGTGTCCACTGTCCACCAGGTGAAGTAGTCTCATTAAACTATTTTATTCTGTGTGGTAGTCAGAGGAAACATCTGGAGCGCATAAGACTGGGGACTGAGGTACGGTCAGTCACTCTTTCTGACTCAGCTGATTAAACGCAGGTTAGCGTTTTTTGTCATGAATCTTGTTCTGGTCACTAGCTGTCACAGCCACAAAGTCATAAAATCTTATTTTAAACCTAACCTTAACCCGAACCATACTGGTAACCCTAATGCCTAACCCTAACCTTAAATTAGGACCAAAAAGCACATTTTTGTTTTCATGAATTTTTACAATAGCCAATTTTGACTTTGCAGCTGGCCTATCTAAAGAGAAATTGCTCAGTCCTCATAATAAATGCATGTGTTCCCAGTGCTACCTGAGGTTGGATGAGGTAACTGTCAGCAAATATTGAATATCTTACGAGTCGTGGATTTGAGTGTGTGGATTTAGTTTCCCTTGAATTCTATTACTTTGATTTCCCTTAAGTGTCTGTCTATCATCATTTCCCTTCCCATCCTGTCATGTTTTGCCACACAGCTTCAGTAGCTTGTTTCCTGCCCACAACAAGATGAGTATGTAACCATTGTGTCTGAGTGCCTTTAGAGGTGTTCGGGGGGCTGTTCTGGGGCGCCATTCGCCCCAGTAATCAGTCCATGGTGTGATGATTTCATTAGCCTCTGGGAACCACAGCTATGGCTTCTGGTTAGACCTCTGACATCACACTGTGAGGGCTACAGAGGAGGAGGGCAAACCTGATGTCTGTCAGCAAGAAACACTTATTAGTTACTCATCACATTAGGCGTTGTGATGGACATTTCTAATGCACGGATAAACTACTAAATTACTAGTAAATTACTATTTATTATACACTGCTCAAAAAAATAAAGGGAACACTAAAATAACACATCCTAGATCTGAATGAATGAAATAATCTTATTAAATACTTTTTTCTTTACATAGTTGAATGTGCTGACAACAAAATCACACAAATTATCAATGGAAATCAAAGTTATCAACCCATGGAGGTCTGGATTTGGAGTCACCCTCAAAATTAAAGTGGAAAACCACACTACAGGCTGATCCAACTTTGATGTAATGTCCTTAAAACAAGTCAAAATGAGGCTCAGTAGTGTGTGTGGCCTCCACGTACCTGTATGACCTCCCTACAACGCCTGGGCATGCTCCTGATAAGGTGGTGGATGGTCTTTGAGGGATCTCCTCCCAGACCTGGACTAAAGCATCCGCCAACTCCTGGACAGTCTGTGGTGCAACGTGGCGTTGGTGGATGGAGCGAGACATGATGTCCCAGATGTGCTCAATTGGATTCAGGTCTGGGGAACGGGCGGGCCAGTCCATAGCATCAATGCCTTCCTCTTGCAGGAACTGCTGACACACTCCAGCCACATGAGGTCTAGCATTGTCTTGCATTAGGAGGAACTCAGGGCCAACCGCACCAGCATATGGTCTCACAAGGGGTCTGAGGATCTCATCTCGGTACCTAATGGCAGTCAGGCTACCTCTGGCGAGCACATGGAGGGCTGTGCGGCCCCCCAAAGAAATGCCACCCCACACCATGACTGACCCACCGCCAAACCGTTCATGCTGGAGGATGTTGCAGGCAGCAGAACGTTCTCCACGGCGTCTCCAGACTCTGTCACGTGCTCAGTGTGAACCTGCTTTCATCTGTGAAGATCACAGGGCGCCAGTGGCGAATTTGCCAATCTTGGTGTTCTCTGGCAAATGCCAAACGTCCTGCACGGTGTTGGGCTTTAAGCACAACCCCCACCTGTGGATGTCGGGCCCTCATACCACCCTCATGGAGTCTGTTTCTGACCGTTTGAGCAGACACATGCACATTTGTGGCCTGCTGGAGGTCATTTTGCAGGGCTCTGGCAGTGCTCCTCCTGCTCCTCCTTGCACAAAGGCGGAGGTAGCAGTCCTGCTGCTGGGTTGTTGCCCTCCTACGGCCTCCTCCACGTCTCCTGATGTACTGGCCTGTCTCCTGGTAGCGCCTCCATGCTCCACGCCTCACAGCAAACCTTCTTGCCACAGCTCGCATTGATGTGCCATCCTGGATGAGCTGCACTACCTGAGCCACTTGTGTGGGTTGTAGACTCCGTCTCATGCTACCACTAGAGTGAAAGCACCGCCAGCATTCAAAAGTGACCAAAACATCAGCCAGGAAGCATAGGAACTGAGAAGTGGTCTGTGGTCACCACCTGCAAAACCAGTCCTTTATTGGGGGTGTCTTGCTAATTGCCTATAATTTCCACCTGTTGTCTATTCCATTTGCACAACAGCATGTGAAATGTATTGTCAATCAGTGTTGCTTCCTAAGTGGACAGTTTGATTTCACAGAAGTGTGATTGACTTGGAGTTACATTGTGTTGTTTAAGTGTTCCCTTTATTTTTTTGAGCAGTGTATTTCATTGAGCTTTCATTGAGCTTTATTTTGTATTGCTCTTTGTATTCACTTACTTCGTTTTTCTGTTGATGCATTGTCGAGAGGGGAACCTGCAAGTAAGCATTTCATTGCACTGTGTACTCCATGTACACAATAAAGTGGTAAGTTTATTATTGCCTCCAGAACATCCAGAATTCTTTGGGGCATGGAAACGTTGCTCAGTTGGTATCAAGGGACCTAACGTGTGCCAGGAAAACATTCCCCACACCACCGCCACCAGCCTGTACCGTTGACACCAACAGGAACCGGGATTCGTAAGACCAGGCAATATTTTTCCACTCCTCAATTGTCCAATGTTGGTGATCATGTGCCAACTGGAGCCGCTTCTTCTTGTTTTTCGCTGATAGGAGTTTAACCCAGTATAGTAATCTGCTGCAATAGCCCATCCGTGACAAGGATGGACGAGTTGTGCGTTCCGAAATGCCGATCTGCACTTCATGAGAGCCCATGAACTCATGTTCCGCAACATTTCTATAGGCTATGCAATTGCGTGAGAAAACAGAGTGATGGCCTCTATTAAAAAGAGGAGGATCCCATCAGCTTTCTATAGGCTAGGCCTACTGTATCTATTTCTCAACTTTCCTAATATTAAGCACATTGCTTCTCGTTATAACGGGAGTGTAGCCTACCTGGCTGGCATGAAAATGAAACACGGGAAAAGTGTCCTCCATTTGCTATTTAAGTCCATAAATTACATGTATTTTTTTTCCCCTGCCCCTGTTTTGAGACAGGTGCATGATAATGGTCCATTCTAAAACAAATTTCACACATATTATTTTATTTTAATTTGGGATCTATCGCATCCCACAACTGTCCCAGACTATGTTTGGAATATTTATTTCGCACACAGAATAGAATAGGTCAACTTTGTGTGCCTCGGAATTGTATAAGGACGCGCGCAGTTGTGTCCTATGTGTCTGTCTTCACTTGTAGCCTGTGAGAAAGACCTTATCACGTGACGTGCATTGGCAATAAGAATTGAGCTATCTGAGAGAGCCGTGTGAGTGAGAGGTGCTTCACCGCACGCAGCCGGGAGAAGGGAATTATAATTATTATATATCAGCCCAAAGGCACAACGGCCACTGGCCGCAAAAGGCGTGGATTTTTTTACGGGGCATTACGGCCACACAAGGGGATGCCACTGGGAAATTCGAGGCATTATCAAGTGCTTGTCAAATTGTGAATGAGAGACTGATGAAATGTGTGCAGCCTGTGCAAATAACAAAGCAAAGCTCATGCCTTTCATGCATCATGCAGCCTTAGAATGTATAAAAAATTTAAATGTTGGGCAATATGTTTTGATCACAACTAAAGTTGCATAAATAACTCTAAATTAAGCATATAGGAAGACCTGTTTCTTTGTTAATCGCTCAACACAGATTAGCCGCATGTGCGCACTCCCTCAGAAATCTTTAGGAGAAAACATCCATTCTATTTTATTCAGCTATGTTCAATTGTATTCTTCATACTATAAAATAAGCCACGGACTTCTAAGCAAATCTTGTCTGCTAAATGAACTAGTGTAGCCCACAGCCATATGGCATAGCCAGATCAGAGCCTAACATAAGGACAAGGACTATGCTATTCTGTTATAGACAGTTCTGAAATAGACAGTATTTTCTTTCATATCATGTTTCTTTAGACCTGTATAAAATACATAATGGTTTTATTGTGATGGTGTAGGCTATGGATTTATTAGACTTTTTAAAATGTAGGTGTTCCAAAGGTCTGTATTAGTGGCTTGTAGGCTATGCGTGGAAGCCAGGAGATGCTAAATATGTTTATGTTAATTAACGGTCAATTACCTTGAGACCAGCAGTTATTTGCTTGACGATCACCAGCTGACAAAATGTTATGACTGCCACTGCCCTAATCATACCACGCTCAAAGTCACTTAGGTCACTCGTTTTGCCCATTCTAATGTTCAATCGAACAGTAACTGAATGCCTCGATGCCTGTCTGTCTGCTTTATAGTATATAGCAAACCACGGCCACGTGACTCACTGTCTGTAGGAGCGAACCATTTTCATGAACGGGGTGGTGTACCTAATAAACTGTGTATATCATGTGTATATGACAAATAAACTAACTTGAACAAGATAAACCTCATCCATAGAGCCCGGAGTTGTTCCTGGTCAGGTCACGTGGTCAGGAAAAATGTATGGCCATACATACTCATCCAATATGGTTTGATGTGGGTTCCACCAAACCAATGATTATCATGTATAGCTTCTCTCTGTTTAAATAACCAGTCTTGCTACGTGTGGCAAACGGTTTGTCAACCAGTTTGATTGGCCAAATACACCCTCTCAAAGCACATTTTACATGGATCCTGTCTCTTCTAGACATCCCAAATGTAAACAATAACCCGTAGTCCCTGAGATGTCTTTGTATATCAAACAGGAAATCACCTGATGCTCCTAATGCCACAGGCTGCATGGTAAGGACATGGGTCAGGCCTGGCAGGGGGTTGGCTGGGGCTGGGCAGAGTCAGAGAGGACTTCAAACAGCATTGTGTAGCAGGAGCCTGCATGGGCCAGAGAGAATCAGAGGCAGCAAGGATGTGAGGTTTGGGAGCGGTGTTGTTGTCACCATAATGAGAGGGTTGGGGAGAGGCATATCCTACCAAACTGTGCTTGTCCTTTTCTAGGGAAAACACACTCAATTAAACAAAAGACATGAATGCTATTTGTTTACAGTACAGTAGTGACTGGGATGCACTGAACACAAGGCCTATAGGCCACAGGACAAAGAATCAGCCTCTTTCTTTGTAGCTACAGTAGGAATGTTGTTATTATAGATGGAACATGTTTAACTTTCTCTACAATGAATTTGAAACACCCTTTCAACTTGAAACACTAGGCTAAGATTGCCTCCTAAGGCCTGAAAAGCATGTGATTAAATTACCTGTATGTGTGGAACATTATAACACATTACACCTTCCAGGAATTTCAGCTGTGCTTGACATGCTTTCCTACAACTTGTAATGGAGTGCCAGAAGAGAGTGATTACTAGTTCCCTCTCGCTCAATTGAGCAATTGACTCATGGTTTGCTGAGGAGATTCCTGCACTGGTAGAAAGGACGACAGACCCAGGCAGCCAAGATATTCCTCATAGGCAGCAGGTATTCCCATTGGGGGGAACTGAGGCAGACAGGGTGGTTGAGTGTCAGTAGTATCTCCACCCCACCCCCAACCAACTGCGTATATGTCTGGGTGACTCTGGGGAGAAACAAAACTGAGGACTAGGCAGCAGAGTCCAATACAAACACGCACGCGCTCCACACTCTGTCCCCTCCCAGTCTCTGTCTGCTAGCCGGCTCCTGGCTGGGCTGACAGCTTGATTCATGCCGCCGACCCACACGCCATTGACACATATTTCAAATACACTGGGGGGATTCGGTTCCTTCAGCTCTTTTCCAGAAGACGCCTCGGCAAACTAACCCTCCACAGAATGTCCTTCAGCTTCGCAATTATTGAAAATTACTGCCTGAATGGAGCAGTTAATGTTCTAATTTAAATTCTATATTTTTCATTCGTTTTTTTCTGGCTTGTGGTGCATGGTTAGTGGAGGTGAGTGGTGTGGTGGCGTGTGCGGTGCTTGTGGAGACTAGCTGGAGCTATGAAGGAAATTCCTTTGTGGATGAATAAGCATTGGGTGACTGACAACTCTGAGAGAGAGAGAAAAGTGAGAATGGCACACTTACTCAATTTCTAGTATGAACAGCAAGGTATTTACAGTAAAGACCTTGAATTCCCAGTGTAATACTTTCCTGGGCATACCTCTGTCATGTGGTTTGGGTCTTAGCCTCAAGTAGCCTTATCTGGGCATGAGGTCTCCCTCAGAACCGGGCTGAGGAATTGATGACTGTCAGAGTCAGGATGGAAAACAAACCCTGGGGCTGAATAGCTGAATACATTACAGGCTCCTCAATTATGCCAGATTTGCTGAGGAATTATGCAGTCTCCAAGCGTAATGGATAATTTGGCATCCATCTCCTTGTGCCTTTGTGATGAATATTGATGGTGGGGGAGTCGGGCAGTGTTTGGACACTGAGCTGAATGCGTAAAGTCGTGGAACTCTGGAAGACAACGACAAAGATGTAAACGATGGCTGAACAACACAGGCTTTGTTCTCCTGGGTATGGATGGATCCATCATGCCTCTTAATGTTGCAGCTCGAGATTCCTGCTTCATATCTTGTTGTGCTAAAGCACAAACTTCCTCGATGAGGTCCTTGGCATATGGAGGCTTGAGTGGGAGAGAGCGAGAAAGCGCAATCAGAGAAAAAATAATATTGGAAGGTAACTCATCATGAAATGTCAAACACAGTTCGTAAACAGTGGTTGTTTTGTCTACTTGCTGTTTATTTAAAGGTTGATCAGTCTCCGAGTTAAACATTTTCCAAAAATAAACTGCTGTAAAGAGTTTGTGTGTGGCTGTGTGTGCGGAATGTCATTGGGTTCGCTGTCATCTGTGGGCACAGCTGGCTAAACTTCACGTTCTTTGTGTTTTTTTAGTGGTATGCCATCTGCCCTGCATGAATGGAGGAAAGTGCAGTGCCAGGGACAAGTGTCAGTGCCCGGCTACCTATACGGGGAAGTTCTGCCAGATGCCTGTTCAAAATGGGAATGGGCAGCAGCGCCAGAATGGGAAGCAGCAGACGTCCCAGATTCACTCCACTCACACTCTGCCCCTCACGTTCAGCAATGGACAGAACCCTGGTAAGATGGAGGGACTGAGTTCAAATACATGTACATGTATTTTTTGAAAATTGGGTTCATTTTTTATCCGAAGGCATATAGGTAGAAATACGAAGGAGTATCCAATAAGTGTACATCTAAAGTGCGGTCGTAGAACATTAACTTGCTATTTTCAATAACTTTGACCCCATGTATCCTCTTTTACCTTGTCTCCCCCAGTGAAATATGCCCCCAGCATCGTGAACATCCACGTGAAGCATCCTCCAGAGGCCTCGGTGCAGATCCATCAGGTCTCCCAGCTGGATGCCAATGGGCAGAAGGTGAAAGGCAATGGGCAGAATGGCCAATCGCAGACCCAGACCCAGACCCAGACCCAGTCTCACTACACCTACCACCACTCAGACAGCAGACAGACGATCCAGGGACACAATATAATCTACCCCAACCAGCAGAGCTACGTCCCCCAGTACCAGCCCGTCTCCTCCAAGAGCCAGTTGGGACGCTGCTTCCAGGAGACCACCGGCACACAGGTCAGAGAGGGACAGGGGGGAGGGCAGGGATGGAGAAAGAGGAGGGATAGAGGAGAAGAGGAAGAGAGGAAATCTGGAAGTGTTGAGAGTGCAGAGTGAGAATATTGGAAGACAGATCAGAGAAGGACAGAGGGAAAGGTGGGGGTTGGAGAAAGAGAGTGGAAATAAGAGGGAGAGAGAGAGAAAGAGCTATTGGTAGGCTTTGTGGATAAATAAGGTAATGAGTTCTGCTTCAATGCCAGCCATTGATCACTCTTTGCATTTGAAAAAACACAATCAAAGGAGCTGTTTGTCCATCAAACTAATCTATGCTAATCGAAATTGATGTGTGTTTAGAGGACAAAAACAACCGTGACTCAAGTTAAATCAATCCAGGTGTGTAGAGCCTCTCATTTTTCAGTCTGCTGGCCTTTATACTCCGAGAATAAAGATGCTATCAACACCAAACAACTTTTCCCATTTAGAAATAGCTCCATAACTCATGTCAGTGCTTTAATACATCCAAAGTTATTAGCAGTATTGGCACCTCGCCCGTCTTATCCACTTCAATTTGGTTTACATTTTGCAGTCAGATTGACATTATGGTGATAAGGCTCCATCAGCAGGCGAGGCGCTGAGGACTGTTCCCTTATCAGTGTGTGTCGATCTGAGGGAAGCTGGACGACAGGATGTGTTTTATAATAGAACTGTTCTGTCTGAGAGTTGGAGTTGGAGTGACAGATGGGCGTATGTGGCAGAGGCTTCTAACGACCACGGATTACAAAAAGAAAGCCAGTCATGTTGCGGACACCAATGCTGCCCTACCCGACGAGCTAAACACCTTTTTCTCACACTTCGAGCCAAAAGACTCTGAGCTGCCGAGGAGAGCCCCTGAGGACAACGAGGGCTACGTGCTTATGGTCTCCACGGAAGACGTACAGTTGAAGTCGGAAGTTTACATACACTTAGGTTGGAGTCATTAAAACTCATTTTTCAACCACTCCACACATTTCTTGTTAACAAACTATCATTTTGGCAAGTCGGTTTGTAATTTTTCCAACAATTGTTTACAGACAGATTATTTCACTTATAATTCACTGTATCACAATTCCAGTGGGTCAGAAGTTTACATACACTAAGTTGACTGTGCCTTTAAACAGCTTGGAAAATTCCAGAAAATGATGTCATGGCATTTGAGTCAATTGGAGGTGTACCTGTGGATGTATTTCAAGGCCTACCTTCAAACTCAGTGCCTCTTTGCTTGACATCATGGGAAAATCAAAAGAAATCAGGCAAGACCTCAGAAAACAAATTGCAGACCTCCACAAGTCTGGTTCATCCTTGGGAGCAATTTCCAAACGCCTGAAGGTACCACGTTCATCTATACAAAACAATAGTACGCAAGTATAAACACCATGGGACCACGCAGCCGTCATACCGCTCAGGAAGGAGACGCGTTCTGTCTCCTAGAGATGAACGTACTTTGGTGCGAAAAGTGCAAATCAATCCCAGAACAACAGCAAAGGACCTTGTTAAGATGCTGGAGGAAACAGGTACAAAAGTATCTATATCCGAGTCCTATATCGACATAACCTGAAAGGCCACTCAGCAAGGAAGAAGCCACGGCTCCAAAACCACCTTAAAAAAGCCAGACTACGGTTTGCAACAGCACATGGGGACAAAGATCATACTTTTTGGAGAAATGTCCTCTGGTCTGATGAAACAAAAATATAACTGTTTGGCCATAATGACCATCGTTATGTTTGGAGGAAAAAGGGGGATCTTGCAAGCTGAAGAACTCCATCCCAACCGTGAAGCACATGGGTGGCAGCATCATGCTGTGAGGGTGCTTTGCTGCAGGAGGGACTGGTGCACTTCACAAAATAGATGGCATCATGAGGAAGGAAAATTATGTGAATATATTGAAGCAACATCTCAAGACATCAGTCAGGAAGTTAAAGATTGGTCACAAATGGGTCTTCCAAATGGACAATGACCCCAAGCATACTGCCAAAGTTGTGGCAAAATGGCTTAAGGACAACAAAGTCAAGGTATTGGAGTGGCCATCACAAAGCCCTGACCTCAATCCTACAGAAAATGTGTGGGCAGAACTGAAAAAGCATGTGCGAGCAAGGAGGCCTACAAACCTGACTCAGTTACACCAGCTCCGTCAGGAGGAATGTGCCAAAATTTACCCAACTTATTGTGGGAAGCTTGTGGAAGGCTACCCGAAACGTTTGACCCAAGTTAAACAATTTTAAGGCAATGCTTCCGAATACTAATTGAGTGTATGTAAACTTCTGACCCACTGGGAATGTGATGAAAGAAATAAAAGCTGAAATAAATCATTCTCTCTACTATTATTCTGACATTTAACATTCTTAAAATAAAGTGGTGATACTAACTGACCTAAAACAGGGAATCTGTACTAGGATTAAATGTCAGGAATTGTGAAAAACTGAGTTTAAATGTATTTGGCTAAGGTGTATGTAAACTTCCGACTTCAACTTCAAGTCATTCAAACGTGTTAACCCTCGCAAGGCTGCCGGCCCAGACGGCATCCCTAGCCGCGCCCTCCGAGCATGTGCAGAGCAACTAGCTGTAGTGTTTTTGGACATTTTCAATCTCTCTCAAACTCAGGCCGTTATCCCCACCTGCTTCAAGATGTCCACTATCATCACCATGCCCAAGAAAGGGAAAGTAACTGAACTGAATGACTACTGACCCGTAGCACTCACTACGGGTCATTATGAAGTGCTTCGAGAGGCTTGTCAAAGACTACATCACCTCCTCCCTCCCCGACACACCCGACCCTCTCCAATTCACTTACCGCCCAACAGATCCACGGACGACTCAATCGCCATTGCACTGCACACTGCACTCACCCATCTGGACAAGAGGAATGCATATGTGAGGATGCTGTTCGACTACAGCTCACAGCCCTGGGACTGAACCACACCGTCAGAGTGCCTAACTCCTCCCTATGCAACTGGGTCCTGGACTTCCTGACAGGCCGCTGACGACGCGACAGTAGTAGGCCTGATTACCAACAACGACGAGACGGCCTACAGGGAGGAGGTAGGCACTCTGACGGTGTGGTGCCAGGTAAACAACCTCTCCCTTAACGTCAGCAAAACAAAGGAGCTGATTGTGGACTCATCAATGGGGCCGCTGTGGAGACGGTCAAAAGCGTAAACTTAACTTCCTGTACGTACACATCTCCGAGGAGCTGAAATGGTCAAACCACACGGACCCCGTGGTGAAGAAGGCACGACAGCGACTCTTTAACCTCAGGAGGCTGAAGAAATTAGTCCTGTCCCCGAGGGCATTCACAGTGTTCTACAGGAGCACCATCGAGAGCATACTGTCGGGCTGGATCACAGCCTGGTACGGCAACTCCACCGCCGCTGACCGCAAGGCACTACAGAGGGTGGTACGCTCAGCCGAACGCAACATTGGGTGCACACTGCCTGCCCTCCAGGACACTTACAACACCAGGTGTTGCAGGAAGGCAAAGAAGATCATCAGGGACCTCAGCCACCCGAGCAATGGCCTGTTCTCCCCACTTCTATCACTCAGATGTGGGCAGTACAGGAGCATCAAGGCTAAAACTATCAGACTGGCCAATAGCTTCTACCCCCAGACCATCAGGCTGTTGACTAGCCACCACCAGTCAGCTACCTGCTCCCCCCCCCCCCCCCCCCCCCCCCCCATCTGCGACCCTCTACATGTGACTAAATACAAATCTATTTTTATTTTTTAAATAAGAAAGGACACTTCCCTTCTGAAAATACTGAACTCACTCTCTGAATCTCTCCTACTGCTGTTCCTTTCTCTCTGTGTTTCTCTCTACTCTCTTCCTCATTCTCATTCTCCTACACACTCTCTTCTAAATTCCAGTGTGGCAAGGCCCTCCCTGGTCTCAGCAAGCAGGAAGAATGCTGTCAGAGCATCGGAACATCCTGGGGGTTCCACAAATGCCAGAAGTGCCCAAAACCATGTAAGTACCAGCGTAATACAAGTAACACTCTTTGACTGGTGTAGATTATAGTGGTTGAACTTTGTCATATGAGAAATGGGGAGTGAGAGAGACTGTCATGGGATAGACAGGGAGCGAGACAGAGATAGATGAACTGTACACCCAAATAAGGACATCTCAGCCCATTTGAAATTTGTCTCAGCTATGTGAATACTGTGTGGCTATTTGCTGCCGAGACACAGTAGTTGAAGATAAATCAGGTAATACACTTTACTGGCACTGTAGAAGCAGTTTACTGGCATGTGCAGTTACTCAATTCTTAACTGCATCCAAGAAAGGGAGTTTTTGTGTCGAGACAATCAACACATTGGAACCCAGCTTCTGCCAAAAAAGGGCAAAAATTGTTTTTCACAGCTTGAGAATGACAAAGGAGGGGGATGAAGGAAGGGATGGGTGGGGGGGGAGTTGGAGAAACAGATGAATTTTGTGAAGACATGCGAGTGTGAATGTGCTGAACAGACCCAGACCCACAGTAATGTTCCAATAACCGGACCCCTGGGTCTAGTCCACTGACTCACCTCATGGTAATCCTCTAATAACTTTATTTTAAGAGTGGTGAAAACTGTTCACTCTCTTACCCCCAGACAAGCATTACAACATTGCCGTGCTTCATCCATATTTGGAAATAACGTCATTTGTACAGACCCAGACTGAAACCTAGACACATTATCTTGATCTTTCCCTTTTTTGTGTTTATAGTTCGGGAACATTAGAACTATGCTAGAATGCTAACAAAAATGCTAGGACAGAAATGTGGAGGTCTGGTTTCAAAAACATGACACAGGCTTTCTCTCAACACCATAGGCACGTTACATAATGTAGCCAAGCTACTGCAAGTAACAGAATGTCCAGCCCAGTAATTTCAGAGCAGCTGCTCTTTAGGCACTGCTAGCCTATCTTCAGTACGAATCCTACATTTGTATTTCAGGAACACTGTATTAAGTTGGGAACATTATATGACCCTTGTGTTTATCCAGATAAAAAAAGGTGGGCGGCTTTTGGCCCTGTGGATTTATTTTGAGAAGAGATCTGTTAAAGAAACAAGCCTGGATGTCTCCATGCCAGTAGTCTGTGTTCCCACGTGGCTGTCCTGTCTTTCTCTTCCTGGGCTATTTTAGCTGGTTGTTACCCAGTGGAGACGGCTAGGGAAGGTTTAGGCCCTTGTGAGCATTAGAACATTCCAACAACCTCCCCAGAATGCTGCTTAAAGAACTCTCTAGAATGACCTTTATTGCCTTCATGCCAAAGCAATGGGATCTATGAGAGAGAGGGGATGGTGGGAGGAGACGGGGGTGGGATGTGGTTGGAAATATGTGTTTTCATCATTTAACTGGAGGGAGATCGGAATCTTCAAGTGAATAGCTTGTACTCCAGGGATCACCTGTATTTGGGGAGTTTCTCCCATTATTCTATGCAGATCCTCTCAAGCTCTGTCAGGTTGGATGGGGAGTGTTGCTGCACAGCTATTTTCAGGTCTCTCCAGAGATTTTCGATCGGGTTCAAGTCCGGGCTCTGGCTGGGCCACTCAAGGACATTTAGAGACTTGTCCCGAAGCCACTCCTGCGTTGTCTTGGCTGTGTGCTTAGGGTCGTTGTCCTGTTGGAAGGTGAACCTTCGCCCCAGTCTGAGGTCCTGAGCACTCTAGAGCAGGTTTTCGTCAAGGATCTCTCTGTACTTTGCTCTGTTCATCTTTGCCTCGATACTGACTAGTCTCCCAGTCCCTGCCGCTGAAAAACATCCCCACAGCATGATGATGCCACCACCATGCTTCACCGTAGGGATGGTGCCAGGTTTCCTCCAGATGTGACGCTTGGCATTCAGGCCAAAGAGTTCTTCAATCTTGGTTTCATCAGACCAGAGAATCTTGTTTCACATGGTCTGAGAGTCTTTAGGTGCCTTTTGGCTAACTCCAAGCGGGCGGTTATGCGCCTTTTACTGAGGAGTGGCTTCCGTCTGGCCACTCTACCATAAAGGCCTGATTTGTGGAGTGCTGCAGAGAGGGTTGTCATTCTGAAAGGTTCTCCCATCTCCACAGAGGAAATCTAGAGCTCTGTCAGAGTGACCATCGGGTTCTTGGTCACCTCCCTGACCAAGGCCCTTCTCCCCCGGTTGCTCAGTTTGGCCTGGCGGCCAGCTCTAGGAAAAGTCTTGGTGGTTCCAAACTTCTTCCATTTAAGAATGATGGAGGCCACTGTGTTCTTGGGGACCTTCAATGCTGCAGACATTTTTTGGTACCCTTCCCCAGATCTGTGCCTCGACACAATCCTGTCTCGGAGCTCTACAGACAATTCCTTCGACATCATGGCAAGGTTTTTGCTGTGACATGCACTGTCAACTGTGGGACCTTATATAGACAGGTGTGTGCCTTTTCAAATCATGTCCAATCATTTGAATTTACCTCAGGTGGACTCCAATCAAGTTGTAGAAACATCTCAAGGATGATCAATGGAAACAGAATGCACCTGACCTCAATTTCGAGTCAGATAGGCAAGGGTCTGAATACTTATGTAAATAAGGTATTTCTGTTTTGTATTTTTAATACATTTGGCAAAATTCCTAAAAATCTGTTTTCTTTTTGTCATAATGGAGTATTGTGTGTAGATTGCTGAGATTTTTTTTATATTTAATACATTTTAGAATAAGGCTGTAAAGTAACAAAATGTGGAAAAAGTCAAGGGGTCTGAATACTTTCCGAAGGCACTGGATAACTAACTGTCTATTATGCGTTGGGAATACTTTGGAAAATATTTCCAAAATTAAAATACCCCCCCTCTCCTTGTACTCAGAAAACTTGAGAGGCCAAATCAAATCCCCTGCAGGCCGGCAGTTGGGGAACCCTATTGTACTCAATAAGAGTTCATAATAACCTAATTTGTAGCCCAGAAAAAGACTATTAGATTAGTCTGCCTCAATCAGACAGGCATCAAAGTACTCCGCACCCTCACAGCACTTTGGAGATTAAATCATTATGCTTTGATCATTATCAAATAATCTTATGACAGCTTATGTAGTTAATCAGTTGTGTTATCCCTCTTTTTCATCAACTCATTTTCTGTCAGGGAGCCTTTTCCCTGTTGGGCCTGAGAATCGAGATTAACTTGGTTAGTTTGTACTCCTGTCTTACCTAACAGGCTATTTGAAGTTCAGAAATCACCACACATCCAGTCACATTTTCTTTTCCCAATGCTTCCCTGGTTTCCACATGGAACAAAACCTATAGTTCTTCACCAGTTTGTTCCCAAAGGCTGAGTCTCCTGTTATTGGAAGGTACAACGGCACAGTGTAATGTCTGGCTGTGTTGGGAGTCAGGAATGGCAGGGGAGTGAGGTTAGCATTTATGTGCAGGGCGCCGTGTGAACTGCCCCATTGTGCCCCGGAGACAGTTGTAGCTGGTAAATAAGTTGGCTTACAGGCAAACAAACATAGCCTTGTTCCCTTTTAAGCAAGCTAGCAATCTGCTTTCAGGTATTTGGGTGCCACCCTGGTACGGGGCCTGAAAAGCCCTCCAACAGTACTTCCGTCTGCCACAGTAGATCTAGATCCCCCCTTCTTACCTTAAGCAGGGTGGAATCATTAGTCCAATCATTAGTCCTCTGCCAGCCCTCAGTCAGATGTTGGCTCCATTCATTGAGTTTTTACAATGAAAGCAATTAATGTCAACCTTTGGAAACGAAATACACAAAAGTATGTGGACACCCCTTCAAATTAGTGGATTTGGCTATTTCAGCCACACCCGTTGCTGACAGGTCTATAAAATTGAGCACACAGCCATGCAATCTCCATAGACAAACATTGGCAGTAGAATGGGCCATACTGAAGAGCTCAGTGACTTTCAAAGTTTTACCGTCATAGGATGCCACCTTTCCAACAAGTCAGTTTGTCAAATATCTGCTGTGCTAGAGCTGCCCCGGTCAACTGTAAGTGCTGTTATTGTGAAGTGGAAACGTCTAGGAGCAACAACGGCTCAACCGCGAAGTGGTAGGCCACACAAGCTCATAGAACAGGACCTGGGTATGGCGGATACCAGGAGAACGCTACCTGCCAGAATGTATAGTGCCAACTGTATAGTTTGGTGGAGGAGGAATAATGGTCTGGGGCTGTTTTTCATGGTTCAGGCTAGGCCCTTTTCTGTTTCAGCATGACAATGCCCCCGTGCACAAAGCGAGGTCCATACAGAAATGGTTTGTCGAGATCGTTGTGGAAGAACTTCACTGGCCTGCACAGAGCCATGACCTCAACCCCATCAAACACCTTTGGGATAAATTGGAACGCCGACTGCGAGCCAGGCCTAATCGCCCAACATCAGTGCCCAAACTCACTAATACTGTTGTGGCTGAATGGAAGCAAGTCCCTGCAGCAATGTTCCAACATCTAGTGGAAAGCCTTCCCAGAAGAGTGGAGGCTGTTATAGCAGCAAAGGGGGGACCAACTCCATATTAATGCCCATAATTTTGGAATGAGATAGTCGACGAGCAGGTTTCCACATACTTTTGGCTATGTAGTGTTGAATGGTTACATGATGTTTGGCATTTGGAAGCGGAGGTAAGCGGGTGTTTTTGCACAGTGTTTTGTCCTTGAGGTTTGTGTGGCCAGGGATAAGAAAGTTGAATGCATGAGAGGAGGTGTTTGTTCATGGGTTCATGTGAGAGATGGGTTTTTTTTACCATTATTTTCCTCTTTTATTTTGTTCTTCATAATAATGGTTGCTTGTGCTGGAATGCAACTAAAATCCAAATGGGAACAAATAATGTTTCCTATTTTATTCAATGTTTTATTTTGCCATGAATCTCATTTTCCTTCAAGGTAAGCTTGAGATCGCTATTCTAGTCCTCAAACAGCTATCAGACAATGCCAGTAAGTTGAGAGGCTTGCGTCAGGAGGACAGTACCGTGAATTAGTGATGGAGATCAAAGAAGGATTCAAGCACCCTGTCATCAATCCCCAAAAAGCGTGATGGTTTTATCCGTGGCAGGTTTCCTGACGTCACCTGAAGTTAGGATAAACTCTGCGACTGTAATAGATGGCACTTATCCTGAATGTGTTCAACTCAATTGTGTGTTGTGTGCATGCATGCGCGTGTGTGTGTTGGTGAAACACTGGTTCTTACTAGGTGTTGATGGATCATGTTCTTGATGAACAGGGCAGAGTAGAGATACTGTCAGAGTGGGCTTCCTCCTTCTTAAACAATTCTGGATCAGTCATCAAATGCTGTCTACTCCCATAAAGTCAGGGGGAATCCCCAAAGTATCAGTAGAAATGCTTTTTAAAAACCTGTAGCCAATTAAACATAGCCAATTAAATGCGTTCTTATGAGATAATGAAGCGTACATACTCTATATTGTTCTGAGTCATGTAAAAGTCTCAGAGATGGATTGATGGAAGTAAAAAAAAAAAATATCTCTCTCTTTTCCAGCTATTCCTCTGACAGCAGGAGGATCCAGACATGCGATGGACTGCCCCCAGGGATACAAGCGCATCAACAACTCCCACTGCCAAGGTAAGCGCTGTGGCCCACCTCTTGTTCAACGTCTCTGCGACTACCACTGCCATTGTTTGGCTTGTGCTTTCTCACACGGAGAGAATTCTATTGTTTTCTCAGCGTGGCGGAGGGCTTCGCCAGGAGAAATTAGCCTTAAAGAAATGATTTGTCACCAGCCACATAAAACCCTGCGAGAGAGCAGGGCTACCATCCAGAGACGAGGAATGAATATGCTTCATTTTGACAAGGAGATCATTCTCACCCTTCCTTGGGTGGTATGGGCCTGTCTACCTGTACACAGCACCCTCTGCTGGTCCCTCGCGCTCCAATCCTCCACAGATACACTGACTCAGCCCACTCTCATTTATGACACTGGTTTGCCAGCTGCCATTTGTTGTCTCCCCAGAGCTGCCTGAAATCTATCAAAGATTAAAGTTTTTTCTTCTCTTTCTACTCTTGACTTGCTCCACTTGGTCGTCAGTGATCAATCCTGCTTTAACAGGACCTCAAACACCATAACAGCCATGCGGGGGAGAGAGTGAAAAGAGGCAGGTGCCATATTTGATAGATTTCCCTAATCTAATCTGAATTGAATTGGGATATGATAGCGAACGATGACTACAATACATCAGGGCTGGCAGGCCTGACCGTATTCAGAGGAGTCACACTAAATCAAGCCTGCTCTGCCCCAGCGACTTTTGAACCTACTGTGGCCCATTCACTCAGCACTCCACTCAAGGGGAGGGAGGAAGGGAGGTAGAGGGACCAGTGTCTGTGTATACGCCACAGGCCTGCTCAGGGACTTTACTGACTGCTCATTTTTTAAACAAAAAAATATAACCCCTACTGCTCTCCTCTAATCAGCAGGAAACCCAAACCTCTCCTTCTCTCTATGGTAGCTGGCTGTTTGAACTGTCAGATCTTACAGAGAGGGGTTATGAAATAGTGAAGGCTTATCCTTTAAATTGAGCTTGTGGCGTCTCTACTACAATAACAACTGCCCAACACTAAACACACTACATTATTCTACATCATTGAGAATTCTATTGGAACAGTGGACGGTACATTGAAAACATCAGGGGACACCCCTACTCACTTCAAAGGGATCCCATTAATTGACAGCACTGGTAGTGTAGTGCATGGCACAACCAACAGAGGGCATATGCCTGGGTTCCACTGGTTCTACATGAGGCAGAGTGCCACCGCGCCAAGGCGCTTGCCAGAACTGTGGTTAGGCAGAGAAGGGCTCTGAAAGGGGAGCCGAGGCCTGACTGCTGCCTATTCGGAGTGCTGCCAGGCTGAGGAGAGCAGAGTGGTGGCCCAGACTTGGTTATTCCTGTGGAGGTGCTGTGACTCTTTACCCTGTAATCCACCACTTCCTGTTCCCCTTAATATTACCCCTTTTTTACAGGGCTGATTTGGATTTAATCTCCATTTAGTTTTTCTTGGAGCTAGGTATGTGTGTTTACTAATTGCTGAATATGGTGTGACTGTGTCCAATATAAAAAATGGAGGGGAAAAAGACACGATAGAGGCTTGCTCGGCTGGTTTCAAGTCGTGTGGAGTCGGCGGGTCTTGTTCTGATCCAGTTCTGATTAAATTCCCCAGTGAGCCATTTGAGTTCTGAAGCGGTGAGGGTAGGAGGTGTTAGGCTGGGTCATGTTCAGTATGACTTCTCTTGGACAAGCCAATCTCCCTCCCACATACTCTCGTTTAGCACTTCTCAGGCACTGCTGAATGTTGTGGTGACTAATGCGCAGGTGTGTCCCAGCCCAGGCAGCGGATCTGAGTCCAAAGTGATTAAGGTGATGAGTGAGCAGTGATCTTCTCACCCCAGCAGCACACTCCTCTCAGTGTGTCATCACAGGCAGTGGGCCGCGCTCTGTGGGGCCCCGGGGGGACAGAAATAGTGAGTGTATATTGAATTCACCTCTCCTCCACTCGGTTCACCGCTGAGCCGTTTTATGGCCTTGTGGGTAATTATTCTGTCAGTGCAGTGATTGACAGCGCATGTGGGCGGGGCTTGAAGGAGCGGTGCAGGTGTTAAAACCGTGAAAGTGCCAGTGGAGACGCGTCCCATAGATGATAATTGCCATTCATTGATATTCCTTGCAGAGGGTGTTGTAGTAAAGAATGTTAACGCAAACATCTTTATCCTCCTGAGATCTGCCTGAGAAAGAAAAGTGATTTGGATCATCTGTCCTGTGAGACAAGAAGGAACACCCTCATTCACCCACCCCAGGGGAAACATGTCACTGGGAATGACGTCTCTTCCCCTATTTGTTGATTCTATTACAGTTTAACAGAACACAGTAGAGCCTCCTGTGATATGAACCTGGTCAAGATGTATCCTCTGAAATATTCATGACTTACATTACATGGAAGGATATCCACATGCTGTCGCCTGGTGTTAGAGTACCACAGGATGATGTGATGCTGCTCTTGTCAAGTACTGTGTGCTCTGCAAACTCTGTGCATGAGTGATGATCCTGTACTGGTATATCTTTTCACTTTTGAAACAGAAAGAACAACATGTAAAGTGATAATATTAATCAATTTGAACAGAATTAAAGGGGAACAAATCACATGGAAATATGGATGGAACAAAGCTCCCTTTTGGATACATAACTCAAAAACATGCTTCATATTTAGCCCTCTCAATAACAAACTACACTTGTAAACTGGATACCAAAACAAATGAACAAGATATATGTAAACAGCTAAGAGGCAGCCGAGTTGGAAAGGGGATACAAAGTCTGCTTGTCTCCTGTTATAAGGAGTATATGGGGAAATCATTCTATTGACCTTCTTCCAGCTGGACATGTTATGTCTACCCAGCTGTTGTTTCCAATAAGTTAGTCTCTAGTGACTGGCTGACATGTCCACTCTGCAGTGAACCAGTGAACCCCCAAAGCTGTTAGTCCCACGTTCAGCCTCATAAGCCAGACTTTGAACTAAGGAAATCAACCTGCTCTTTTATCAGGTTACTCCATAACCGGGAGACCTGAAACTGTCTCCTCCACTTCATATGAATAACCTCAAACTACGGGAGCTGCCTTGGACCATAACAGTTATGTCGGGGCTACACCAAGGTTATGATATGAATGCGGTTGTTGTGAGCTATTATACGAACTCATGTATAGAAACAAACAAAATGATGGTAATTGGTGGAGTTACCAGCATACACATCTCTATTCTATGCACGTTCAGTTCATGTTCCTTTCTGTACTGTGTAATACACACTAATATGTATATCAACAGTGTATTACTTTGTTCCTCTCCTTGGTTTTCTGTTGCAGATCTTAATGAGTGCCAGCTGCAGGGTGTGTGTCCCAACGGAGACTGTCTGAACACCATGGGCAGCTACAGGTGCAGCTGTAAGGTCGGCTATATCCCTGACCCCACCCTCTCCACCTGTATCCGTAAGTCCTCCATACCTCTCTCTCTCTGTCGGTCTCTCCCCTCTCACTCGCCCTCTCTCTCTCTGTCTCACCCTCTCTCTCTCTCTGTCTCGCCCTCTCTCTCTGTCTCGCCCTCTCTTCCTCGCTCTCTCGCTGTATCTCCCTCCCTCTCTCTCTCTCTCGCCCTCTCTCTCTGTCTCGCCCTCTCTTCCTCGCTCTCTCGCTGTATCTCCCTCCCTCTCTCTCTCTCTCTCGCTCTCTTTCTTTCTCAGTGCCTGTACAGTCAGGATTGCAGTGTGTAGAAGAATGTTGCGAATGCCGCAAAGCGTACTGCAAAGGCTGTGTTTTGATGATATGCATATGAATGTGGGAACAGATGGGAATGCATGGATGAAAAGCATGATGTTTATCATATTAATCATATTCCCCTCAGAGCATGGAGCAAAAGGAACAGCATATTGCCAAACACAACAGATCTTATTTCTCTCCACTGAAAGTGGGAAGGAAGGAAGGAGTGTTGGGTTGAGGGATTAAAATCCAATTGACTTGATTCTCAGTTCTCTGGGTTGTTGGTTGGAGAGCGATTGATCAGTGATGGCCTTTAATGATGTGGTCTTGTTCAGCATGCGTTTCCCTGCCAGTTGTTGTCTCTCCCAGTCCGACCAGTGTGTGTGTGTATATGTGTGTGTTTTGACTCTTGGTTTGTGTCTTCTGCTGGTTCCCTTCTATATATATCATTGCTATTGAAACCTGAGTGGCCATTCATCAACATCACTGGCTATGGCAAGGAGCCTTGCTACAGTTTTGTCCTTAAATGGAAAAAGGAAGCATTGGAAATTCATCAGTGACATCATCCATTGTGTTTCCCCCCTCCCCTGCATGTGTTGCCTGTCATTGAACCGCCAACGTCGCATCTAGACTTCTCCCCTCATTGTGTGTGTTGAGTTACTGAGCTCTCTGCTGGCATTAAAGCACAGTGGAGTTTGGAGAGAAACATATTGGTGTTGATGAAGGACCAAATTCAGCCTGACCCTCCTATGTACTGCCTTTGTGTGTTGATTGGCTTATAATAGGCATGACAGCAACAGTAACCAACCAAAACGGACCTTCCCATTGTGAGAGCCACTAATAATGCCCTATTGTACCATGGAATGAGACTTTACACATACACGTACATCCTGTGTCCACCTAGATTTAACAAAAATAAACCAATGCATTCCATGCGTAGCACTTACAATAACTGTGACTCAATTTTCTTTTGGGATTCTGACACGTCATCAAACATTCCGCTGGTGCGAGACAATATTCTTGACCAAAAGGTTAAAAATACATCAGTAATGACTGCTTGAAATGCACATACCACGCGTGATTAACCCTTTACACTCATGGGAATTGGCCTGTATGGATAGGGCTAAAAATAAATGTTTCTTACAGAAGAGATATGAAATGCATAAGCATGGTAGCAATTTAAAGGGAACAGTTTGGAGATTATGGGAAAATTATTATACCAAAGTTGAGAACACAACAGTTCACCTGACACAAGACTGAATCCAAACATTACACTGTTGATTTTATGTGCATTTTACATTTACTGTACTTTTTGCCACATTTGTTGATAATGAAATCTGAAAATACTCGGGATACATTCAGTAACATGATAAGAATATTCCTGGAAAATGTGGGGTAGATGCAACATAAGACAAAAAAATTACAAGGGTTTGAGTGAGAGGACTAACTGGTGTCTCCAAGTGGCTAAACACCTCTCCAAAGTGTGCACAGTTCCTAAGTCATTTCAATGCACTTTTATGGCTCAAAGAAGAGTCTTCAACTATAAGCTCTCCTAGCTGTGCCTTTGAGGAACTAGATCAAGCACACTTGTAGTTGCTTTGTTTGGAACACAGCCCTGCATCCCTGCCATAACACAGTTACTGTTGTTGTTTACACAATCCAAAAACAGGCAATTTTTTTTCTTTCGCTATCTGCGTCAGGTGGGCATCATTTGAAAGCTTGTTTTATTGCCAACATGACTAGCTAAGTTATAAAATACAAAGGCTTTCATAGGGCAATTCAGAGAAAATATCATCATTTTGGTGTGCATAGAAAGGAGTCATGCGTGCATTTAGGTGCGTGTTCCGTGGTTAAATGTTCTTTACAGAACAACCCAGGATATGACACCATGTCGTGTTGTCACTGTACATCAAACTTAGTGATCATAAACGTTGACACTGTACAGTTGAAGTCGGAAGTTTACATACACCTTAACCAAATACATTTAAACTCAGTTTTTCACAATTCCTGACATTTAATCCTGTCTTAGGTCAGTTAGGATCACCACTTTATTTTAAGAATGTGAAATGTCAGAATAATAGTAGAGAGAATGATTTATTTCAGTTTTTATTTCTTTCATCACATTCCCAGTGGGTCAGAAGTTTACATACACTCAATTAGTATTTGGTAGCATTGCCTTTAAATTGTTTAACTTGGGTCAAACGTTTCGGGTAGCCTTCCACAAGCTTCCCACAATAAGTTGGGTGAATTTTGGCCCATTCCTCCTGACAGAGCTGGTGTAACTGAGTAAGGTTTGTAGGCCTCCTTGCTCGCACACGCTTTTTCAGTTCTGCCCACAAATGTTCTATAGGATTGAGATCAGGGCTTTGTGATGGCCACTCCAATACCTTGACTTTGTTTTCCTTAAGCCATTTTTCCACAACTTTGGAAGTATGCTTGGGGTCATTGTCCATTTGGAAGACCCATTTGCGACCAAGCTTTAACTTCCTTACTGATGTCTTGAGATGTTGCTTCAATATAGCCACATAATTTTCCTTCCTCAGGATGCCATCTATATTGTGAAGTGCACCAGTCCCTCCTGCAGCAAAGCACCCGCACAGCATAATGCTGCCACCCCCGTGCTTCACAGTTGGATGGTGTTCTTCGGCTTGCAAGCCTTCCCCTTTTTCCTCCAAACATAACAATGGTCATTATGGCCAAACAGTTATATTTTTGTTCCATCAGACCAGAGGACATTTCTCCAAAAAGTACTGTCTTTGTCCCCATGTGCAGTTGCAAACCGTAGTCTGTCTTTTTTATGGTGGTTTTGGAGCAGTGGCTTCTTCCTTGCTGAGCGGCCTTTCAGGTTATGTCAATATAGGACTCGTTTTACTGTGGAAATAGATACTTTTGTACCTGTTTCCTCCAGCATCTTAACAAGGTCCTTTGCTGTTGTTCTGGGATTGATTTGCACTTTTCGCACCAAAGTACGTTCATCTCTAGGAGACAGAATGGGTCTCCTTCCTGAGCGGTATGACGGCTGCGTGGTCCCATGGTGTTTATACTTGCGTACTATTGTTTGTACAGATGAACGTGTTACCTTCAGGCGTTTGGAAATTGCTCCCAAGGATGAACCAGACTTGTGGAGGTCTACA